GGGTCCGGTCACCTCTTCTCGTTGTGCAGCGTTTTCTGCCACACTTTTCCCTTCCCACAGACTTCCCACTGAGGTGCCTTGATACAGCACTCTGGGAACAGCCTATTGTTCAGCAATTTCTTTCTGTGTCTTACCCTCTTGCTTGAGGGTGTCAATGATGGCCTTCTGGACAGCAGTCAGGTCGGCAGTCTTACCCATGATTGTGGTTTTGAGTAATGAACAAGGCTGGGAGTTTTTAAAAGCCTCAGGAATCTTTTGCAGGTGTTTAGAGTTACGTCGTTGATTCAGATGGTTAGGTTAATAGCTTGTTCAGAGAAACTTTTCATGATACGCTAATTTTTTGGGACAGGTATTTTGGGTTTTCATGAGCTGTATGCCATAATCATCAGTATTAAAAGAATTAAAGACCTGAAATATTTCAGTTGGTGTGCAATGAATCTGAAATATATGAAAGTTTCATTTTTATCATTACATTATGGAAAATAATGACCTTTATCACAATATGCTAATTTTTTGAGAAGGACCTGTACAGCACAACAAGACATGATCACTGTTTCTTTCTGCGACGACATGCGCAGTATACCAGGAAGTGACCTGGAAGTGACCAGGAAGTGACCTGGAAGTGACCAGGAAGTGACCAGGAAGTGACGCTGACTGACCCGTCTATAAAGCAACTTTCTTTCTTATGAACACACTCAAAGCTCTTTACAACCGTCTGTGCCCTCACTTACCCATTCATACAGCACCCTATTAGATCTGTACAAACACTAATCACAGCTTTAGATCACATTCAAACACTGATGGGACACACATCAGAGGCTATGAGGGGTTCAGTGTCTTGCCCAGGGACACTTCAGCATGTGACTGCTGGTGGAATCGAAACCCCATCTCTCCCATTGGAGGACGACTGCTCGAACCACTAAGTCACAGCTGCCCCCACTAGTGTCAATACCCATGCTATAAAACCTGCTAGGTTTCTTAAATCTGGATATTTTCATTGGATTAAGTCCAGAAAGGGATGAATATGAGCTTAACAGGAAGTAGAAAGGAAGTGACATCATTTTTATGGCAGCCAAATAAAAACAAGTTGCAGCATCAAGGCAGACTATACTTTCTGAAAATCTGTCTGGAAGGAGTTTTTTTTGGGAGGGGGATGATGAAGCCAAAGTGTTTGAAATGTTCCCTATAATTATCGGGGTGGTGTATGAGTGGCAGGTTGTCTGGACCTGCACAAGTATGCCTACAGTCATGCTGATGAAAGAGAAGGAGCGCTACAGGCTGCTGCTGATACAACACGTCTTTTTCTCTGTGCGTCCTTGTAGTGTCTGCTTGTTCTGCTCAGCCTAAACAGAAGAAATGATGCTCTGGTGCTACCTCTTGGCTTTTTCTAACACTCTGGTAGGGTTAGTTAACAGTTAAAAACAAAAAACACATCTGCAGAGCTAAACCAATCCAGCGCTTCTCTGAATGAAATGTATACGCTCAAATGAATCCTTCAGCTGAACTCTTTGGTTCCACTCACTGACATTATCTGAAGCGCTACAGTGGATCCCAGCATCACCAGAGACTGACCTTGAATGAAGTGCACACTGACTCTTGAGTGCAACGTCACCCAGCACATCAGTCACAGTCATGGATAAACTGAGTCAATGAAGCACAAACAGCAGAAGCCTTCTTGTTCCAAGCAGCTCCAGCTGAGCTGATTGGTGCCAGACTACTCTGGCTCATGAAGCTGCATGAACGTTACAGTTCTCACGTGGAAACTCAAAGATGTGTGTGTGTGTATATATACACACACATATATATACATACATATATATATATATATATATATATATATATGTATGTATATATATATGTATACATATAAAAGCGTTTTAAACCCTTCCCACACTCTTGTAATATTCTAAACACTGTATCTAAACTCTAAAAGCTCTAAAAGAGCACAGCATGTCATGATGTCAGCTCCCTGCCTCCTCTGCTCTTTGCCACCTGCAAGCGCTCTTGGCCACGCCCACTTCTCAGCTCTGCACGGTGAACAGCTGATCAGCTGCAGCAGGAAGTTTAATCTGCTGTGTGGGCTGCACAGAGGTGCAGCTCATAAAATAGTTCCCTGCATTTAACCCATCACACATGAGACCCAGGTGGAGCAGTGAGCAGCTATTTAAGCAACCGGGGAGCAATTAGGGATTGGGTGTCTTGCTCAGAGACACCACGACATGTGGGAATGGCGGGGAGTCGAACCGTTCCCCATCTCAGGCCACAAATAGCATCGATCTGCTCGGACTCGTTTGTTCATCAATCAAGTCAGATATTGACTCTTTCTGTCCAACGTGAGGCTGATTAAAAGAAGCTATCAAGAACATTTATTGTTTATTGTTCTCCACAGAACCTCACTTTAAACGGTCTGAAGGAGTGTGTACAACCCCAGAATGATTTACTACAAGAGTAGTAGCACATTTCAGGTCAACGTCAGTCCTTCAGAGGAAAAGCTACAGAGCTGAATGCAACATATATTTCCTTCAGCTGTAAATAAAAGTGAACTGTTGTGACCTTGAAGCATTCTGTTCATCCTGGCCAACTCTTCTGCTGGTAAAGTGACTCAGCACTGAAAGTCTTCAGAGGGTTTTAGATAAACTGATCAACTCTTTTCCTAAAACATCTCATGTACATTTATGAGTTTGATGGGATGTTTCAACACCAGTAAGAGAGTTTCAACACCAGTAAGTCTTATCACAAGGTTAGACGAAGCAGTTTGCAGCAGCATTGTGCGTTCAGTGTGATCCTGACAGCCCACTGGACAGATGAGGACTTACTTCTGTCCTGTTTCAGGTGGAGCTTCACTCCGTTTGAGTTGAGACTCCTGTTTTCCTCCAGCCCAGTCTGCAGGAGGAGCGCCTCCAAACCACCAGCCATGTGCATGCTCCTGGACCACAACGAACCAGGGCGCCGCCACTATTACAGCTCTGCTCCCAAACTGAGCCGGTGGAATCTAAAACCCCGCGAGTCCTCCAGTGAGGGGCGGCATGGTCTGATGGACATCCAGAGCAGGCGCTCGTGGGGTGTCCCTGTCCAAACACTGGGCTGAGGATAAAGTGTCGGGCACCTGGTGTGCTTCTGGCTGCGAACAGCAGAGGTTCTCACGAAGGTGTACTCTGTGTTTAAAGCTGCATCTCTACTTCTAAAAACACGTTCTTTTCAATTTAGCTTGAACTGAGAGCAACAAGCCTGAAGAGGAAGCAGATGTGACACAGGTCACAGGTCACAGGTAGATTAAACATCAAGTCATAGGATGCGTAGTTCATGTGCTCACAAATCTGCCTCTGCAATATTTAGAGCAACGAGAACACTGCTGAAGAAATATTCAAGGATGTGCACAAAAGTGCCACTTGTCATGCACGAACAGCCCAAACCAACACGTGTACAGCAGTTCCCTCCTCTTGTTAAGGTCCTGCACACAAGTCCAGTCCTGAAGGTCCACGCTCTGCTACTGACGCCTCATGGGACTGCTGCATTCACATGACACAAGCTTCTGTCGTTCAACAGAACGCTTGGCACCATTAATATAAAACACATAATTAAGAGAAGTTGGGTTTTCAGAACCAAGAGGGTGAACTAATATCCACGCAGAGCAGATTCAGGAATGTTACAGATATGTGAAGCTGAACCTTCATTAGTTCATGATGTATAAAGCTTACAACCATCCTAATGAAATAAAGTACTTCTTACTGCCACTCATATTCTGTTGATCTTGAGAGTACTACAGACAGAAAGTGATGTTCCAAATGAAACGAGAACTGTCATTAATGAAAGCCGCAGCTGGTTCGGACCTGCAGTGTCACTGGTCACCACCGTGCCATGAACATCACGGGTCACCACCGTGCCATGAAGATCACTGGTCACCACCGTGCCATGAAGATCACTGGTCACCACCGTGCCAGGAAGATCACTGGTCACCACCGTGCCAGGAAGATCACTGGTCACCCCCGTGCCATGAAGATCACTGGTCACCCCCGTGCCATGAAGATCACTGGTCACCACCGTGCCAGGAAGATCACTG